AACTCAGTGCTGAGAATACCAATTTCGGCCGCACGTTGCTCCTGTTCCCTGTCACACTGGAAGTCAGACTTAGAGCAAATAACCTGGCCACAAGCTGGGGAAAGTGTCACAAAAGAGGCAAGAATAAAGGGCTCATGGGATGGAGTGGTTGGTCCGGACTACTGTGGGAAGGAGGAGTGTGAGATCAGGCGAGGACAGAGTTGAATAAAATCTAATATTTATTGAGTCCTCCCTGAGCACGAGGCCCCAAGGAGGAATGCCAGGTCACAAAGAGTGGAGCTGGTAGCACAGGTGTAGCACACCTGTAGCTGGTGGTTTAAGGGTCCACATTTGCCACCCCCTCCCCAGCTGGGTGTTGACTAGTGCCACCACTCTGATGGTCTAGTCCTTGAGGGGTGAGCATCTCTGTTGGATCTGCTTTGCCTCCACCCTAGGCTTCCCCCGGCCACAAGCACATTCTGGAACTTTCAACCCAATCGGCGAAGGCTTCTCTCCAGCCCCTTCCATCCCTTAGCCCCACCACCCTCATGGGGCCCTCATCTGCCTGGCCCTGAGTGCTTACTCCTCTCCTCCTTAATCCCTACCCTTGCCCCTCTCATTCCTCCCCAGTGGAGTCCTAAGCTGGCTCCCCAGGCTGCAGACACCTCCCCCCGACCCAGGGCTTGCTCCGCGGTCCTGCTCCTTCCCCGGCAGTGCTCGCCCTCCGGAACCCCAGTTTCCGCCATGCCCCACTCCTACCCCAGCTCAGTGTTTTCCTCCCAGAGGGAGCCCCTTCCTTTTGCCGGGTACTCCAGGCCTGTCCAGCTGCCTTGACCTCTCCCCGTTGCCATCCCACCTGCCGCTGTCCCCAGGGGCCTGAACCCAGAGGTCACTGCCCTTCTGCTGCCCTTTGACTCTGGGAACCACGGGCCTTCTCATCATTAACATGTGGTTTTAAGTTGATTTTTATTTTTTCAAATCTACTTGTTTCTTTTTGAAAACTTTTCACATTGATTAATGGGTATGAATATATACTTAGAAATAAGACGTGGGGTTCAATAGATCAGTAGGGTGACTACAGTTAACATGAATCTACTGTACATTTCAAAATAGCTGGAAGAGAATAATTTGAGTGTTCTTAGGGTAAAGAAAATGTAAATGTTTAAGGTGATAGTTATCCCAATTACCCCAACTGGATTATACGAATGTATGAAATTCTCACATGTATCCCAAAAATACATGTATCTATTATGTAGCAATAAAAAAGTAAAGTTATTGCCAATCAAAAAACCCCCACTTTTGGCATTGAAAAAGCGACTGATTTTTTAAAATACTGAGTAGATAATAATAGAGGTGGTAGGTGAAATTAGCGACAGTTGTTTCGGTGGTATCCTAATTGTGGGCATTTAGGAAGCCCTGTATTTAATCATTGAACCTTACAGCAGCCCCACGAAGCTCAGGTATGTATTCTTATCGTACCTGTTGTGCAAGGTGGCACCCATCTGGGTCAGCGATACACCAGGTTTTGTGACGGATTCTACAACATCACCTGGCATAGTTTAAGGAATTGGCTTTAATGGAGAGAGGCTGCGTTTGCAGAGGATGAGGAGGCAGCTGTCCCCCTCACCCCGTCATCTCACTGAATTTGGGTGCAGCCTCACCCCCAGGAGGACGGGGGGCGACGACGGACCACTCACCCTGGCTTGTTGTCCAGGCAACCCAGAATGAGATGGGGTCGCCTTTGGCAATTGTGCTCACTGAGCCACGACCCCCATTTTACAGATGCAGAAACAGAGGAAAGACATTAAGTGATTGGCCCAAGTTGCAAGCCAATCCCAGAGCCTAAGTTCAAAACCGGTTGATTTCCTACTTAAAGGAAAGCAGAAGATTTTATGAGGCAGCAAGGAGGGGACCTTGCTCTCTGCACGTCACTTTCTGTCTCTGAGAGGCGAAGTGACGTTCTGCAAGGAGCCAGCCAACTGCATGGTGGTTTGACCCTTCCCACTTCACTGTTCCTGCTGCCTCAAGATGCCAAAATGGCTGGGGCCATTTTGGGATCTTGGAAGCTCCCAAAGCCACCGTGAGCCATCTCCTTTGCTGACTGTAAGAAGACTTGGCAGGAGCCTCCTGTTCTTAACTCCCACGCTAGAGAATTATTCCCTGAATTAAAGATGACTTTTACATCCTGCGTTGTAAAATGCTTTATGATCACTGACAGTGGTTCGTGATAGAGATCGGTATAGAAATGTTCACGGATCTCTTACATAAGGATCAAGACGAAAATAGGAGCTGTTTCTTTAATTCTTACACAATTTTTAAGAAACCCTTTAATATTCCATTCAACTCTTTCTTCCTTTTATTCCTCTCTCTTTCTTGCTGGTTCTGAAAAATAAGTGTAGCCCCATAAATATGCAGAATGTGGAAAGCTGACTTCTTCTATATCTAATAAAAACCTGGGGGAGTAATTGAAATAACTTGGCGTGGGCAGTCAGGTTCCACGCTGCGTAATATCAGAAGAAAATCCATAGCAAGGAAACGCGACCGAAAATAGGAAGAGGGGCTGGAGAACAAAACCAGAGCATTAAATAATGAGTATCTGAGAACCTTAAAAAAAAATCCTTTTAGAATTACATTCTTAGAAAAATAGTCGAGAAGCATCTTCAAAGAAGGAATACCAGACAAAGTGTACATGTTATGCATTTCTAAGGATTACAAATTCAAAGAAAAGGAAGAAAAGAGTCCTTCCTCCCCCGGCATCTGTTCATTAGACAAAAGAAGTCTGACAGAAGTCACAGGTTTCAATCAAATTTTGACACACGTGTTTTTTCACGATTAGGCTTTCCTCCCATCTCCCTTCGCTCTTTCCTCTCTGCAACCCGCATTTTAAAGGAATGTTGTAAAGATGGCAGATCACAAGAAGATAACCGTCTACTATCAAGTGTCCTGGGTACTTTCTGGAATATCTTACTCTGGTCTTTATGATTTTATGAAAGATCGCTGCATTCACCGAGGGTAGAAAAGTGATGTTGACGTGGCCCGTCTGGATCTTGTGAAAGAGAAGCGCTGGCTCCCAAGTACAGGGAACACAGAACAGTTTGCAGCCTGCTTTTCTGGCAGAACCTTGTTGCTCATTAACCTGCTCTAACCGAGGCTTTTGGCTATGTAAACTTGTGCAAGCCATTTACTGTTCCTAGACTCAGTTTTTAAGGGATTTTTTAAAAAAAGGTTATTTGTATATAAAACAAAATCTTTGGGAAACAAAAAAGTAGAAAAAAATGAAAGCAATCACTCATAACTTATTGTAATGATTTTGGTCTATACAGCTGTTTTTTTTTTCTTTTCTTTAAAAACATATAGTAGAAATTAAGCTACATGATTCAATTTTATCTCCTAATTTTTCTTTTGGGAGTGTTTTGTCTTCCCACATGAAGATAGATTTGACTCTTAGGCATCATTTTACAGAGCTGCGTAATATTCCACACAAGTGAGTTTCTGTTTTCCAGACAGAAAGGGTGTTGGACAGAGTCGGGGGGCTGTTTGAGTGTCTCACTGAAGGAAAGAGAAGGTGCAACCAGAGTTCTGATGTTCGCCCTGTATCTGTAACGAGTCGCAGCCAGGTTTGATTGTCAATGTGCATTAAGTATTGCTGTGTTCCTACCCAGAGAGGTGAGGCTGTTCTCTTTCTGGAGATGATCTTAGGTCATAGACCCATGACCGTGCTCTCTTTGCTGATGTCTGTGTGGAGAGAGACAACCTGGGTAAGACTTCTAGCTCTGTAGCCTACTGTCCTTGTGACTGGGACAAGGTTCTGGGCTTCACTATGTCACATTTCCTCAACTGTAACAGTGTGCGTGTCATTATAATTCCTCAATTCTGAGAAATATATTTGGACACACTTGACATCGGATTGAGTACTGCAATCAATGGGCACATTGTAAGTTTTCCTTCCTTTATCCTCCCTCAACACTCCCCAGAGCTATTAAAATCGATGATATCTTAGTACCGAAGAAATTTAATAAGACTTGCCTTACAGTGTCTGTTGTTGAAAGGATTAATGGAAATACACATGAAGTGTTCTTACCACTTGGTAAGAGCCCAATACGTGGCAGCTGTTATTTTACTAGTAAAAAAGCTGTATTGTTCTTAGAAAAGTAGAACACTTATCTGTCTAGAATATTTATTATAAGAAATACATTATTTGTAGGTCACATACTTGGTTAAAACTTGTGCTGCTTGGAAAATCCTTCCGCATCTTTCGTTAATTAGAGCCGGCACGGGGACGGGTGGCAGATAGGTTTAACTCCACGTGCCAGGTCTAATTTGCTGATGATGATTGTCAGACACGCTGTATTTTGAGGACTGCTGAGGCAGGATCTGAGTATAGCAGGCAAGTGTGCCAAGGTTGATTAGTAATGTCTTCCCCAGGCTTAGGCAGAAGGAACGGCCACACACACGCTGTTTGCCATCTCTGCATCACAGTGTCACAAAACATTACTTGGCAATTCATTTGGCATTAGCCAGGCTATGGTTTATCAATTAGGTGTTGCATTGAAATCTTCCATCAGTAGACCACTTCCGGGTCCAAGGTGGAAGGTTGGAAACCCACGCAGGTGAAACTTAAAACTCCAATCAGAAACGTGGGAGACTTCTCACTATCAGAGAGGGCAGAGCTTTGGCAATGACCTTGATTTTGCTAAGCCCTTGTTCTGCTAATGCTCACTTAGGTCTCGCCTCCTGAGCCTTAAACACCCTGCACCTTGGCCTCTCTAGAACTTGCCGTGGGATGGCTGATCTGCACTTTGGTCTACCCTGTGACTGCAGTTTGTTTTTGTTCCCCTTTGCTGTGGGTAAATGCTTCTAAGTGCAGGGCCCTTCTCTCAGAAAGGGCAGTGGTGTTGGAAGAGAGATTGCTCATTTCATTCCAGGGTCTTGTTTTCTACATCTCAGCTTTCAAGGCACTTACAAAACAAAATCATTCATTACAGGCACATTGCACAAGGCTGAAATAGAAAGCTACATACCATTTCTTGCAATATTCTGGTAGTCCCTGTGATTGCAGCGGTTTCTTTCCCGTAAACGAAGGTAAATAGAATGTTCTTTAATTCTGAAACAAATACATATGTTGATATTTAAGGTTAGGACATTCACATGATGAAGTTCAAAGAAACATGTTTTTATTATGATTTTTAAAAAATACAGTTAAAATGAACTCCGAAAATCAAATCTCTGCTGACAAATTTCCCCTAAACTGTGATTGTATTATTGGAAGTTGTCACAAGAAACGGTCCTATGAAACGAATTGTGTCGATGTGGTAAGAGTGTCATTGAAGATATCAAACTTTTTCGTTTGTATGAAGACCTCCAGAGTCATCCCTTTCTAATCTTTTTACCAAGAGCTGCTGTATATTTCTTGAGCAATTGCTCATCTTTATCAACTCTGTTATTTTGAACCTGACCATGAAGCTGTGGCTGATATTCTTGTTGTCTTTCAGATCTAGTCTCCCCTTTGTGTGTTAGAATGGATTTTGCAGCAGGACCCGTGTCTGCCGGAAATGACGACTGCATTTCCCAGCTTCTCTTGGAGTTAGGAGTGGCATGTCAGTCACTAAGTTCTGGGCAATGGGATTAAATTAGAATTAACCAGTGGCAGTTGGGCATGACGGCGCATGCCTGTAATCCCAGCTGTGCGGGTGACTGAGCTGGGAAGATCGCTTGAGTCTGGGAGTTTGAATTCAGCCTGGGCATCATAGCAAGACCTTGTAAAGAAGTATTTAGTGGCTTTCTGGTACTGTTTCTTAGGGGTGAGCTGAAAGGAGCTTGGATCCTCGGGCACTAAATAGAGTTGAACTCCCAAACCAGTCTGAGACTGCACTTCTGTGAACTTCTCTGTGTGAGAGAAATAAACTCATGTGTTGTCTTATTTAAATTTCCCATGTGTTGAGTCTCTCTGTTAATAGCAGCTGAATCAAATACTGATAGACACAGCACTTACAGATGGATTTGACACCAGTGTCAGGCTATGATTGTACAAATTTTAAGCCATTTTCTTGGCTTCCCTTTGTCCCATCTTTGATTTTCATTTTCTTCTTGTAAGCTTTTAGTTTAATTTAAATGTAATTTAATATTATATTCTCTAAACTACCATAGACTTCCTAAAATCCTTTTTGAAACAAGACCAGATATAAACTAATGAATAATAATTTAGCTAAAAAATATTTGATTACTCTTCAAATGTCTTTTATCTTCCTTTCATTATAATAATTTCATATCTCGCAACCTTACATACAATAACCATTGTATGTATGTGCTATGTAAATCTTACTTCCTGTGTTCCAGTGGCTGGCAACTGTATCAGTGCTTCAGAAAGGTAAGTGTGTATTCTGTTTGGGTATTCACGATGCGTTGAAAATAGTATTCTCTTTTGAAGTCTGAGAAAACTAATGATCATATTTTTTAATAGACGACCAAGATGTCTAAGCAATGTTTTATATATGGAGTTTTTGCTTTGTGGTAGAATTTTCAGGTGAATTAAGTATTTTATTTTTTTTTTTTAAATCAAAGCTACCCATGCACATAGTTTAAAAATTAAATTCATTAACTCTAGTGGTCCCCAACCTTTTTGGCATCAGGGATCGGTTTCATGGAAGACAATTTTTCCACGGACTTGGGGAGGGCGGGGAGGTGGAGCTCAGGCGGTGATGTGGGTGATGGGGAGGGGAGCAGCAGCTGTAAATTCAGATGAAGCTTCACATCCTCACCCGCCTCTCACCTCCTGCTGTGCAGCACCACACGCACCCCCCCCCCCTGCATAAGTTTCATGGAAGACAATTTTTCCATGGATGGGGAGGTAGAGACAGAGCTCTGTAGCCTGGTCCCTAACAGGCCACAGACCCATACTGGTCTGCAGCCCAGGGACTGGGGATAGCAGATTTACTCAATAGATGTTTATTGAGCACCTACTATGTTCCAGGTGCTATTCTAGGCGCTTGGGTTATATGGGCAATGAAAAATACATGATCTCTGCTTCTGTGTTGTTGATATTCCAGCAGGAAAAGACAGATAAAAACACTAAATATCATAAGTAAGCAAATTATAGAGTATGCTAGAAAGTGATAAATTCTATGAAAAACAAAAGTGGGGAGGGAGGAAAGAGACAAGGATTAGAGTGGCCAGAGGAAGTCTAATTGAAAAGGTAAATGTCTACAAGATCTGAGATGGTGAGTCTTATAGAGCCAAATAGTTTAACTATTTCTCCATGTAAGATTTATATTAATAAACAGCAATCTCACACTGCTCTCCCCTCCGCATTTCTCCCTTCCCTGAGGCAACTAATTTCAACATCAATTGGCGGAGTCTTCTGGTATTTTTCTCCTTATCTCTAACATACTTTAAAGGCTACTTCTTCATTTTTAGTCTTTGACATTATCTTGATTTTTAGTCTTTCACTTTTTACTCTGGAAAAGGAGGATTTAGCTATTCACAACTGATCAATGACTGTTTGTTTGTTTCCCTTATAACTGTTTTATTTCCTGGGAGTTAACAGCTGTCTTTTCTTCTTTCCTTAATTGTTAAGTATTTATCATCAACTGACCCTTAAATATTCTACAGTTGCTTGATCTCCTTGCAACATGCTCCAATATACCAGATAGTTTGTTAATTTCATTTTCTTGTAAAAATCTCTTCTGGAGGCTGTTGACCTGCTTCCATCTGGGCTTGTTGTTCTCACCCTGGTGCACGGTCAATATCCTGGGAGCTCCTTTCTCTATTATCCTGGGGATTCCCGTCCCTTCTTCCTGGGTTGTTAGAGCTCCTATTTCCTGGAGGGCTATATTTTTCTTATTTTTGGTAAAGAATGCTTTTAAATAACTTTGAAGGGTGTGTGCAGGAAGCATCGTTAGTTTTCTTAGCACTTGTATATCTGAAAATGTTTTTATTCTTTGACTTGATTGCTGGTGATGTGTAAGGTGGGCCCAGAAACACCATTTGCACCGTAAGTTTAAGTGTAAATAGAGTTAACTGAACTTACTGGGGAAAAACTTGAAGTGGAGAAGTAGCAGAGTTCACATGGTCACTGAGCTCTCGCTATCCCATAGGAAGGTGTCTTAGACAGGTTACGGCTAGACAAGACACCTCTGGGACAGGAGAACTTTGCTCCTTAGCACTTTACATATTATTGGGAAAAGAGGGTTGGGGTGTTTGTTTCTAAGTCACTATGTCATAATAATAATAGTAAATTTATTTTTTCTTTCACTCAGCCTAATTATTTTTAGTTATTTATTTTTTATTGATACATATTTGTACATATTTATGGGGTACATGTGGTGTTTTGTTACATGCATAGAATGTGTAATGATCAAGGTAGGGTATTTAGGGTATCTGTCCCCTCAAGTACTTATCATTCTTAATATAGTAGGGTATTGCTGGCCTCAATTTTTGCAATAGTTTGGGGATAATTGGTGTGTGTTCTTCATTGTAAGTTTGGTAGAATTCAGCAGCGAAGCCATTAAATCCTGGACTTTTCTTTGTTGGGAGACTTTTTATTACTGATTCAATCTCATTACTTGTTATTGGTTTGTTCAGGTTTTCTATTTCTTTCTGATTCAATCTTGCTGGGTTATGTTTTCAGGAATTTTCTATTTTCTCTAGGTTTTCTATTACTAGTTTGTTAGTGTATAGTTGCTCATAATGGTCTCTGATGATCTTTTGTATTTCTGTGGTATTAGTTGTAATATCTCCTTTTTTGTTTCTGATTTTATTTATTTTTGGTTTCTTTTTTTCTGTTTTTTTCTTGGTTAGTTTTTCTTTTTTTCTTGGTTAGTTTAGCTAGAGATTTATTGATTGTGTTTATGTTTTTTTTAAAAAACTGAGCTTTTAGTTTTATTGATCCTTTGTATCGTTTCTTAGTCTCTATTTTGTTTCTGTCTGCTCTGATCTTTATTATTTATTTCCCTTCTACTAATTTTGGTTTGGTTTGTTCTTGCTTTTCTAGTTTCTTAAGGTGTATTATTAGACTATTTATTTGAAATCTTTCTACTTTTTGATGTAGGTGTTTATTGCTATAACCTTCCCTCTTAGTACTATTTCTGCTCTAGCCCATAGGTTTTGGTATGCTGTATTTTAATTTTTTTTGTTTCATGAAATTTTTTCTTAATTTCTTCCTTGACACAATGGTAATTCAGGAGCATGTTGTTTAATTTCTATGTATTGGTTCAGCTTCCAAAGTACCTCTTGTTATTGATTTCTAGTTTTATTTCATTTTGATCTAAGAATATATTTGATATGATTTTGATTTTTTCAAATTTATTAAGACTTGTTTTGTGTCAGAACATATGGTCTATCTTGGAGAATGTCCCATGTGCTGATGAAAAGAATGTGTATTCTGTAGATTTTGAATTAAATGTTCTGTAAATGTCTGTTAGGTCCATTTGGTCTAAAGTGCAGCTTAAATCCAATGTTTCTTTGTTAATTTGCTGACTAGATTATGTGCTTTATATATCAGGATACTCTGCTGTTTTTATATTCTCTTGCTGAATTCATCTCTTTGTCATTATATAATGACTTTCTTTATCTCTTTTTTTTTTTTTTTTTTTTTTACTATTTTTGACTTACATATAAACATAGCTACTCCTGCTAGTTTTTGGTTTTCCTTTGCATGGAATATCTTTTTCTGTCCCTTTACTTTAGTCTATATGTGTCTTTATGGGTGAGATGAGCTGCTTGTAGGCAGTATATAGGTGGGCTATATGTTTATATTTATTCAGAGAATCTATATATTTTAAATATAAAGTTTAAACCATTTGTATTCTAGGTTATTATTGATACATAAGGGCTTATTCCTATCATTTTATTAATTGATTTCTAGTTGTTTTATTTACCTTTTCTTTCTTTCTTTCTCTCATTATTTATTATTTTGGTTTGAGGGTTTTCTGTAGGGGTTCATTTGAGTCTTTTCTATTCCTCATTTGTGTGTTTGCTTGACCAGTGGGTTTTATACATTCATGTGTTTTTTTTTTTTTTTTGTTTTTTTTTTGAGACAGAGTCTCGTTTTGTTGTCCAGGCTAGAGTGAGTGCCGTGGCGTCAGCCTAGCTCACAGCAACCTCAAA